AAAAAAAAAAAAAAAAAAAAAAGATCAGTTTGGGGAGATAGTTTTGATCTATTTCAAGATTGTGGAATCCTTGAAAACAAGGCCAGGGAGTTTGGGCTTAATTTTCATTTGGAAGACATTGGGGAAGCCATTGATGTTTTGAGTAGAGTCAAGGGTGCTGAAAGAAGATCACTTTGGAAGGGTATACAGGATGAGTTGTAGCTGCATGAGACACACAGCCTGGTTAAGGCTATTGTAGTGGTTAAGATTTGTTTAATAATGCCCTGGGCTAAGGTGGTGGGCTGGTGTCACATCGTGTTTAAGAGCATGGGCTTCGGAATCAAAGGACTCCATTTCCAACCTGATCCTGGCCTCAGTAGATTACTGAAACTAATCCTGTCCTCTATAAAAAAGTAATTATAGCACCTATCTCTTTGGGTTGCCATAAGATGTAGATCAGACAGTATGTCTAAAACCCTCAGACTGGCATAGAGTAAGTGCTCAATAAATTGTTAATAACATAAAACGTTTGAAATATTGAATGTTTTACGTAAGAAGAGAGTAAGATATAACTACAAATTTGAGCCTCAATATTAGGGAAATGGCATCATAAGAGAGACTTTCCCCCTGAATTTCATGGGGAGAGCATATGATTCCAGTTTTATGAAGAGAATTTTAGATGTGCAGGAGTTCTGGCTAGGTGTAAATACACAACAGGTTGTTAAAACTAGAGAAGCCAATCTGAGGTATGCTGCTGGTTTCCTACACAGGTGAAATATTTGATGAACTTCAAGCATATATGTCTCCTTTGTTAATAAACTGATAATAATAATTACATTACATGATTTTAAAGGCTTCACATTTCTTTTCTAATTTTATCCTCATTTGACTAAGATACTAGAGTGCAGAGTCCACAGACTGTACATTTTTTATTCACTATTGTATCCATAATACCTAGTAGTACAGTGTGGGTGAAGAAGGTTCTCAGCAAATATATATTTATATATTTGAGTGAATGAATATTACATCCTTCCTTTGCAAGTAGTAACTTGTACACATTACTTAAGTTGTTAAGGAAGACTGGGGCTGAGTCTCTTGATGCCTAGCTTTTAGCAACAAGTTGAGAAGTGACAATTTATAAAGCACTAAATATTAGCATAATTTGGATTTGGATGTGCCATTTTCTTTTCTTTTTATTTTATTTATTTTTTGAGATGAAGTTTCACTCTGTCGCCCAGACTGGAGTGCAGTGGCACAGTCTCGGCTCACTGCAACCTCCACCTCCTGGATTCTAGCATTTTTCTGTCTCAGCCTCCTGAGTAGCTGGGACCACAGGCACATGCCATTGATGCCTGACTAATTTTTGTATTTTTAGTAGAGATGGGGTTTCACCATATTGGTCTCGAACTCCTGAACTCAGGTGATCCACCCACCTTGGCCTCCCAAAGTGCTGGGATTACAGGCGTGAGCTACCACACCCAGCCAACGATGCCATTTTCTAGAGAACCATTTTAGATATATCACGTTTATATGATAAACAAAATTGGAAAATGATTGTTGTGGTGACTAAAGTATAAATCAAGTAAATGCATGGAAAAATAATTATTGAGCTCATGTGGATTTCTGTAAATGATAATCTTTCTTACTGTCTCCTTTTTTTCATAGTGGCATTACTCTAGTGTGCCTTAAATGTGATTTCCTAGCTGATTCTTCTGGCTTAGATCGTATGGCTAAACACTTAAGTCAACGTAAAACTCATACTTGCCAAGTTATAATAGAGAATGGTACGTATATGTAATTGTGTTACTTTGAGTTTATGATACTTATTTCAGTATTTTTTATCGGACATCATATGGACCCATGTATTAAATTGATTATGTCACTCGTCATATATGCTATTTTAAATGTAAAACTCTTTTAATTTCAGTTTCCAAAAGTACCTCAACTTCTGAACCTACTTCTGAGTAAGTTTAATTTTCCTTCAGTGCATTTTGCTTTGATGGACTTTAGCAGTGTTACATTTTTTATTGTATCATTAATAGAAATGAAAAATATTAATTTTTTTTTTAAGCTGCCCATTGAAATAGATTCCTGCTCTATGGAGTTCGTGCAACCTGACGCAAGACAAGTTGGAATTTCCTAAGTTCAAAGTTCTGAAGTGTTTTCTCATACAACAGCAGTTAAACAGCCAAGTTCATAACACTAGCTCTCGTTATTCAGATCTTTTCAGCTTTCAGATGGCACTAGACTTATTCCGCCTTATCTTTGTGTCAGGTTAACAGATCTTAACATGTTTTTTTCTCTAGTTGGTTCTCTGCAAAAAATACCTTTTGTTTTTCTCTGCCTTGCCTTCAGAATATTACATTCCAGATAATACAACTGTTCATCTTTTTCTGTCTGTTTTTTCTGCTTTCTTAATTTAAGTCTTACATGTTTAGGTCAGATAGCCAATTTTTCTTCATTCCTTGTTCATTACTTTTCTATTTTTCATATTTTCAAATGAAGAAGCAACACATAAGTTTCAAAAAAATGTCCAGGGGGCTCCTGGACAGTGTCCCCTTTTGATGGACACAACTGATACCTGTTGTCGTTTTCCAAGAAATGTGAATTGTTTGACTGTGAGACCTCCTCTAGTTTGTGGCCTTAAGAAATCAGGTCTTGGGGAGAGTCCCTTCCTACCTGACTGACCTCCCATAAGGCTGATGCTGATTTGGCCAGAGATGACTTCAAGACCCACCAAATAGAGCACAACTTCCCACTGAGGGCGTTGGCTTTTGATCTTAAGCTTATGGGTCAGTTCTAACCAAGAAAAGTCTATGAGATCACTGCTTCAACATGCAGGTTGAAGTTTAACCAGTTTGGCTGCTGTTCTCTAATGTTCCTCTAACAGGCATGCAGTACAAGGAATATAAAAATTCTGGTTGTATTGGGAACCAAGGTTACTTTCTTGTTCTTGGTAAAACAAAATTCCTACAATTACAGTTCCCAAAGTCACAGTTGTTTATGTTATCATTTAAAGTTTTATCCAGTATTAATTATATTAATTTTCAGCAATACTAATTCGCATTTTTAAACATTTTTAAAATTTTATTTTGTTTTATTTTGGTAGGTTGGTTTTATCTTATTCTTAGATTAGTGCTTCAACATCCAGGTTGACATTTAACCAGTTTGGCTGCTGCTCTTTAATATTCCTCTAGCAGGCATGCAGTCCAAGGAATATAAAATTTCTGATTGTATTGGGAACCTAGGCTACTTTCTTATTCTTGGAAAAACAAAATTTCTACAATTACAGTTCCCAAAGTCAGTTATTCATGTTTTCATTTAAAGTGTTATCCAGTATTAATGAATTTTCAGCAATAGCGATGTTCACATTTTTAAAAAACATTTTTTAAATTTCATTTGATTTTGGTAGCTTGGTTTTTTCTTGTTCTTAGATAAGTGCTTCAACATCCAGGTTGATGGTTTACCATTTTGGCCGCTGCTCTTTAATCTTCCTCTAGCAGGCATGCAGTCCAATGAATATAAAAATTCTGATTGTATTGGGAACCCAGGTTACTTTCTTGTTCTTAGAAAAACAAAATTTCTACAATTACAGTTCCCAAAGTCAGTTATTTCATGTTTTCATTTAAATTTTTATCCAGTATTCTAGGAATTTTCAGCAATACTGATATTCACATTTTTAAACATTTTTTAAATTTTATTTTATTTTGGTAGCTTGATTTTATATTTTTCTTAATCAGATTTATTTTACTGTTTTACTTTTCTGTCACCTACTTGTCCCAGATTCATGAAATTTACTGATGTCCATTTTATGTCTACTTTTTATCTCTTCTCTTTGTGTTTGTTCTTGTTACAAACTCCAAGTCATTTCTTAGAATTGTCTATAAATTTCATGTAGCTACTTATTAGTAGCTTCTTAATTTGGTACTTGTTCAGACCACTAGACATTATTACATGCTCTATCATTAACATTAACTTAGGGATTGTGATTTCAAAGATAAAGATTTGGCAAAACTCTTCTTACAGATCTTAAAAGAAGTTTTAAAGTTATGTTTCCATACATCTAATACATAATATCTTCTTAGCCATTAATGTAATTTCTCTGGATAAAGATAATATATTCAAAAAATATTGAGACCAAAAAATGCACTTGTTTCTTGCCCATATATATAGAGATGTATATATTTTTTAATTTGGTGTTTGTTTATTTTGGTTACATTGAATATAGATTTGCTGAACAGTTTTGATGTTATTTTTTTAATAAAATTTGTATTGTGAAAGTGCCTTGGAAATTATTTTCTAAAAACTTCATATAAAAGCTGTAGGTTGTATCATACAACTATAGGAGCATTACTTTACTCCTATTTCCAGGGAGCCTGATTGCTTGACTGACAGACCGAAAGCTTTATCTACTGAGCACATCTTGCACTTTTTCTTCCAGCACAGTTAAAAGCAAACTATTTATACTTTACTAATTCCTTGAGCAACTAGCAAAATACCCTCTGTGATCTTAATAATCATGAAGGAAGGTGGGCAGGTTCTGAAGTCGTTTGACTCAATATGGGTATTTTTTTTTAACTCTAAAATTAGAACTGGACCAGGTACAGTGGCTCATGTCAGTAATCCCAATACTTTGAAAGGCTGAGGAAGGAGCCAGGAGTTTAAGACCAGCCTGGGCAACACAGCAACACTCTGTCTTGACCACCAAAAAAAATATAATTAGTTGGGTGTAGTGGCATATGCCTGTAGTCCTGGCTACTCAGGCTGAGGGAGCAGGATAACTTGAACCCAGGAGTTTGAGGCTGCAGTGAGCTGTGATCGTGCCACTGTATTCCAGCCTAAGCCACAGAGCAAGACTGTTTTTTGTTTTTTTTTTTAAGAGGAGCTTTTTAAAAATCAAAATTGCTTTAATATACTTTGAAACACTGAAAGTGTCAGTGGCCACTGCTATGTAGTATACTCCTTGCAATTCATAATCAGGAGTTAAATCCATTAATTTTAATTTTTCAAACAGATTTCTGCTGTAAATGCTTTTCCAAAATCTCCAAAAGTGGCTTATGTCGTAGTCGTGGACTTGGTAATACTCTGTTCTTTCTTTCCATACCTGTCTCTAGGATGTTTTATCAAACACTATTTTTCTACCTGTTTGTTTTTTTTCTTAACTTTTTTATTGTGGTAAAATATAGCATAAAATTTGCCATTTAAATCATTTTCAAGTGTATAATTCAGCAGCATTAATGACACTCAACTTTTGTTTAAAGTTTTAAACTTTTTCCCTGGAATAGCAGCTTCTTTGCATTTTTAGCATCGGTCCTCTTTTTATTTACAGATATTTTCTGTGTCTCTTTCACAGTTCAAAAATATGAAAAGCCACATTCTTGCTATGGCAGTATTTTAGGTAGAGGTACAGCTTTGGGTTCTTCCATAGGGTTATATTTCTTATGCTATGTATCAGCTTATTTTTCTTAAAGTATAATATTCTGAAAGTTATGTGTCCCCTAGCATCACTTTTTTTAACTTTGTTTAAATAAAACGATTCATGCAGTCAGTACTAAGCTTACTTATTATAAGCAGTTGAGTTTTAATAAGTGTTAGTGGGTTTTAGCTTGACAATCTGATCCCTCTTTACCTTCACACTGTTACAGTTCTTTCACCTGTTTCAGAAATAGCCATCTCATGCATACATCCTTTTTTGTTTTCAAATAAATAAAAGGTATGATTGGCTCAATTTCAGTCCATCAGTATTATTATTTTTTAAAAACCACTAAATGGCAAAGACTTGGATTCTTGCCCTTTCTGTCACACTTTGGCAAAACACCTCTTTCAGCCTTTTATTTGTTCAGTAAATATTACCTACTATGTGCCTGGCACTGTTCTAGTTGTTGGAAATACAAACTGAAATCTGCCTTCACGGGACTTATATTTCAGTGGTGGGAGACAGACAATAGAAAACAAACAAAATCGTGTAGTGTGTTAATGGTGATGAAGACTATGGAGAAGAATAAAATAGGGAAGGAAGATAGCAACATACAGGTTGGGGGTTGGGAGGTTGGCATTTTAAATTTGATGGTCAAGTTTGGGCCTCCTTGAGAAGATGGCATTTGAATAAAGACCTGAAGAAGGTGAGGAAGTCAACCGCCTGGGTATCTGTCAGAGGAGCTAAAGCCCTGAAGCAGAAATTGGAACCCTCCTGTATTGCTGGTGGCATTGTAAAATGGTTCAACCACTATGAAAAACAGTTTGGCAATTCCTTAGAAAGGTAAGTATAGAATTATCATATGACCCAGCAATTCCACTCCTAGATACATACTCGACAGAATCCAAAGCAGAGACTCGGATACTTATACATGCATTTTCATAGCAGCGCTATTCACAATAGCCAACATGGAAATTGCCTAAATGTCACACACACATAAAGGGATAAATTTATGGTGTGTCGCCTGGTGCAGTGGCCATGCCTGTAATTTCAGCATTTTGGGAGGCCAAGCTGGGTGGATCACCTGAGGCCAATAGTTAGAGACCATTCTGGGTAATGTGGCAAAACCCTGTCACTACTAAAAATACAAAAATTAGCTGGGTGTGCTGGTGTGCACCTGTAGTCCCAGCTACTGGGGAGGCTGAAGCACAACAATCATTTGAACCCAGGAGGCAGAGGTTGCAGTGACCTGAGATGGTGCCACTGCACTCCAGCCTCAGTGACAAAGTGAGACTGTCAAAAAAAAAAAATGTGATATGTCCATACAATGGAATGTTTTTCAGCCACTGAAAGGAATAAAGTACTGATACTACAACATGTATGGACCTCTTAAACATTATGTTAAGAAATCAGTCACAAAAGGTCATATGTTGTATGATTCCATTTATATGAAATATCCACGCAGGAACAGAAAACCAGATACCACATGTTCTCACTTAGTGGGAGCTAAAAATGAGAACTCATGAACATACAGAAGGGAACAACAGACACTGTTGAAGGTGTTCATGAACCACTTGTAACGAGCAACATGTAACTGGAGGCTGGCAATTATCATTTTCATGCTGGGTGTGGCAGCTCATGCCTGTAATCCCAGCAGTTTGGGTGGCTGAGGTGGGTGGATCACGTGGCCAGGAGTTTGAGACCAGCCTGGCCAATGTACTAAAAAATACAACAGTTCACCGAGTGTGGTGGTGGACGCTTGTAATCCCAGTTACTCAGGAGCGTGAGGCAGGAGAATCACTTGAGCCCGGGAGGTGGAGGTTGCAGTGAGCCGAGATTGCACCACTGCACTCCAGCCTGGGTGACAGAGCCAGACTCTGTCTCAAAA